CCTCTTTGGGGGCACCTGGCTCTCCACAGAGGTCCTCAAATGCCCCCAGGTTAGATCTCTGTGAGTCCAAGGGAGGCACCAAATTCAGAGGAATCCCTGGTTTTTTACCTCCCCCGCAGTTCGGGAAGTATTTTTTGTACGGCCAAAGAAGTGACTTTCTTTGAGGGCTTTGCTGACCTGTGCCGTGGCCTCTTTGTAGGTGGGGGAGTTGCCCAGGGCTCTGTGCCGAGAGCCCCCCCGCAGGCTCTTGCTGAGCAGCCTCGGCCAAAGCATGGCCCCACCACCGCCTCAAGACAACAGAGGGTTTCCTTGGAGCTCCTTACCCTTGCACCATTGTAACCTGTGGTTTACCTGCTTCAAACCCAGTCATTTAAGTACCATTTCCAAGTGGAACAACAAATATCCTGAAGCAGCGAGCCGCACACGATGTCTGGCAGCCCTAGCCCAGAGCCAGGATCAGCCCAGGTCATGGGTTACAAGATAAGAATCCCAGATACAAGTCTCACACCTGGAATTATCATTATCTTTGCAGCAGTGCTTTGCATTTGCTGTGTCTAAACAAAGAGTGCTTTGATGGGTGGTGATGTGCTGCTGACGTGAGCCTGCTGGCCACCGCCTCCAGCACAAGCGCTGTCTGTTGGTATTCTGGGCTGGCTGCTGATTTAAGACCTGGATGTTGCTGCTTACTATATCTGGAACTGATCAGAGCCAGCACTTGGCATGACTGTGCCTGTGCCCGCTGCCATTAGGGAGAGCAAAGCTTCCACAGCCATTAGTGTGTCAATGTGGATGGATCAGCTCCTGGCTTAGGAAACAGACCCCTTTTATGTCCCAAAGGTCCTATCTGCAGCCTCCCAGGTAGAGAGAGACCTGTTTGTTCCTCCAGCAGCTACAGAACCATGTGAATGGATGATGGTTTTCCATCTCACAGGGCTACTTGTCTTCTGTAGGCTGCAGTAGCCTCAGATGGAAAGCCAGATTCTTGGGTTTGTTACTTTATATGCTTTAGGTTGAAAGTAGAAACCAAAGCTGTGCCTTCACAGATTTCTGTACCAGGAAATACCCATTTGCCCTGACTGCAGGGACTCTTGTTGTCACCTGGAGGCCTTAAGTTCTGAACTAGCAGGTTTTTGTCTTATGTTTGCAGCTCCCTGGCAATTGGAACCACAACTGGATACAGGCTTTTCTCCTTAAGTTCTGTGGAGCAACTGGACCAGGTCCATGAAAGCAGTAAGTCTCCTGTTCCACTGCAGTGGAATATCGGCCAACAGACTTTACCTGTCTTACTGCACTTGGTCTGCCTCGAGGGGCTGATTGTGCTCCCTGCTGTTGCAGGGATGGCATCTTGTTTCTGCTGTAGCCATATCAGGAGAGGAACGGCGCTGGTTATTTATTGCCCTGTGCACAGCAGCTTTTAGAGCGAGCTACAGCCTTGGAGAAGCTCCTGAGCAGTCAGCAGTGCTTTAAGAAAGTTGGAAGACTCCCACAAGTGTAGAGGCCAGCTGCTTTTTCACTGCTTTCAGCCTGACAGCAGCACTTTGTCCTGCAAGCCAGCACTGAGGGGCAGTTTACCCCTAGCAGGGTTCAGATACATGGACAGGAGAACACGGACTCCCAGCACAGATGCTGGATAACTTGCAGGCTTTTAGTCCAATGTGGTATTTACAAGCAAGATGTTTTTAACAGGTTTCCCATGGAAGAAGTTCATTCACAGCAGGCTTCCAGCTATCAGCTATGCTCAGGGCAGCAGGCAATGCACTTCACAGCCCAGAACAAGTCAGGCCTCATGGAGCATGTACTCTAGTCTGGTTCAGGCCATGGCCAGACGCGTTTCAGCTGAGATGCACTAAAGATACACCTCGCAGCTGGGGTATGCTAGTCTCTCTCCACTGACTGCAGAAGGAGCCTCAGCAACCAGACAGAGCTGCATCATCTGGAGCAAAGTCCAGGCTCCTTTGTCTCCCAGCATAACTGAGCTGCTATAGAGCAGCAAGCCATAGCCTTGATTTAATGAGTGTTTAGCCGTTTGGATTGCCTCCAGAGTCAGGACAAAGAGAGAGAGAGATCCCTGCTGGTGACACACACAAGGTGAAGGGCTGAGAGCCCACATCACAGCTCCAGAACAGCCCTTGTCCCTCCAACACAGCACAGCCCAAGCACTGAGCACCATTCAGGGCTACCTACACCAGAATTCACAGTCCCTGATGGTTTACACACAGGTCCACCATGGCCATTGTAGTGGTGCCTTCTCAACACAAGAGAAGTCATCCCAAACACAGTCTCTGGAAGACCTACCATGCCACTGCTCACCTCAGCCATGCTGGAGCTCTCTAGAGACCACAACCTCAGTGACATGACCCCAGGGAGGGCTTAAACGTGTCAGCCTTCCCTAAGGAGACTGGCAGAAATCAGACACCATACAGAATAAACAGCGAGTTACACACAGCTTGTTCCTTACCTCAGTGAGCCCTAACTTGTTTACTCCCCCCCCAGGAAAGTCCCTGACCAAGTTGGATGAGCTCCTCCTTTTTCTATCCCCTTCCCAAGGATTAACTGCAGCTGGAGGGCCCTGCCCAGGAGAGGCACAACAGCACTATCAAAGGGGGCCGGCTTAAATTCTGCCTTCAGGGGAAGGTTCATTAACCCCTTCCTGCTCTGATCTAAATGCTTTGTGCCAGGTATGAGAAATTTTTAACAAAAGCAGATGTGGAACACCTTAGCACCGAGCATTCCAACCCGATTCCCTCTTGAATCGAGTCTTACTTGTTGCTGCAACCAAACCAACCATAAGCCAAGCTGAAGGCTCTGTCTTGCTTTCCTTCTGTGCCCAGATGAAATCCCAGATGTTTACATCGTGGAGCGTCTGTTCTCCAGCAGCCTTGTGGTTGTGGTCAGTCATGCCAAGCCACAGCAAATGAATGTCTACCACTTCAAGAAAGGGACAGAGATCTGCAACTACAGCTATTCCAGTAACATCCTCTCCATCCGGCTGAATCGTCAGGTAAGAGGCTGGGGAAGGGGGTTAGCCAGTTGTCCCTCTCTGGCTCTTTGCTGGTGTTGACTTGCCAGCTGGGACACCACTGCCTAGCAGAGCAGCGGCAGCCTGGGTAGGTTTGCATGGAGATTGTGAATTGGGACTGGAGGGGTAGGTGCCTGTCCTCTCCTACCAGCTCCGCTTCAGGCTCGGTGACCTCTGACGGAGCAGCAGGATGGCTGTGGATATCATCTGCCACACTGTTTGCCTCAGTAAAATGAAGCAAAGTCCTTGTTTTTGTAGCAGTTACACAAAGGCTTTTTGTTGTCTGCCTTGCCTATTCAGCACACAGCTCTGCCAAAAACCCACCTTTTCATCTTCCTCCCTCCCTTGATGCCACATCCTGACTTCAGGGCCACCTCTGCCATCTTGGTTGCAAATGAGACCTTCAAAGTTGGTAACAAAACCCAGGAGTAACTTGAGCTCCGTGGATGAGGCAAAAGGCTGCTTCTCAAGTACTGCTAGCAGCTTATTTTCTTTTTAAAGGTACAGAAAACATTCGAGCCACTTAGAAGAAGACTTTTAGAGTGTTATTCTCTGAACCGACACAGCCTCAGGCAGCCCTGAGCCCTTTTGGAGGATTTTAAGTCATTTTTTCTTTTTGTCCGTAATTATTTTCAAAGTATGTGCCGTAAGAAGCAGAGAACATTTTACAATGAAGAAATAAGCAGTCTGTGTAATTGTATATAATCAGCCTCTCCTCAGTTAGCAACTGTGAGTCCTGCAGTAAGGCTCTCCCATAAGGAAACTCTGGGTTGAGTTTCCAGTAAAGCTGTGTTTGACCAGAAGTTCCTGTACTACAGTTAAATCTGTCCTAAATTGATTTTTTTTCACTTCAACTTACAATGGAGCTGGCAAAATAAGGGCTGCTTTGAATTGCAGATAGATGTGTACTTATAAAAATAAAGCAGGAGGTTCTGCTGAGCAGCTCTAGGAGATTAGTGTGAGAACAAAATAAGTTCAGGCTTTTCCCCATGTGCTGCTCTGGAGATTGCCTGAAGATGATGCATAGGCCCAGCCTTGCAGCCGCGTTCCTTGGCTGCTTTATGAGCTTGGGTTCAAATCCTGAGCTCATCCTCTAACCGTGACACAGACACACGTGGAGAGATTTGAAGATGTTACAGATACTTGGGTAGATGGAAGGAAAATCACTGTATCCATCTACGTTCAAGATTTAAACTGGTGGCAGTCAGGTTCTGCGTGCGCTGGGACATTTGAACCCCTTGCCTGGGCTTCTGTATTAAAAGCCCATAGAAGGCCAAATCCCTTACAAGGCGTTAACACAGGAAAAATGGTGGCAAATAAAACAGGAACAGGTCTTGGAGAAATGGTGCATGTTTCAATTTGATCCCTCTGTGAAAATGTCCTCGTGCAAACAAGCAAGTCCCTCGGTGGTTGTTGATCCATGGGAATTTTTTGTTCCAAGCTCCCTTGTAACTTAAGCAAGCATGTTGAGGTAGATCGTGATTTGTCTCAAAGTAGGGAGTAAGGCTGTGCTGTGGGACTGGTGAGAAGCTCTCCCATAACCTCCCTGGGTTTTTGTTCACTGCTGAAACCCCGCTGAGCTCTTTAGAGAGGTTTGATAATGTTTCCCTGACTGTGTCCATAGCCAGCACGTTGAGTCCTCAACGCAAACTCCGTTATCTAACCCGATTCCTGTCAAACTGAAGTACTAACGAAAAATACTGGGGAGCAGTAGCATTTTGGACAGGATGCAGTGCCTTGAACCCTGTGTAGCAATCGCAGCACCAGGCACCTTCTCTGAGGCTCTGTCTGTGTGCGCAGTGGGGATAAAACCTTTCCACAGGGTCTGCAGTGACGTTAGCGTGGGCTACCGGGCTGCACGGAGGGCAGGAGGCAGAGAACCAGCCCTCTCCAGCTCGTGGTGAGCTTGTCCAGGCCTCCTTCGCCTGTTTACCTCCCACCCCCATCACTTCCCTGGATTTTGCCCCTGTCAGTGCCAGTATCTCTTGCTGCAGCTCTGGCTGCTGCGTTGCCGTCCTCTGGAAACCTCCCTTCACCTGTACCTCCGTCGCAGCGCTTGGCAGTTCTGGGAAAGCACACGGTGGCTTTGCCGAAATCAGCTGTATAAATATTACTCTGACGGTCTCTGCTAGCAAGTTGATGGCTGTTATTGTAGAAAAGGCAAAGTCTTCCTGGAAATGCAAAATGGCTCTGACACAGCCCCAGATGCTGTGGTTAGCAGGAATAGAAGTGGGAAAGAGGTTGATCCGAGAGTCATGGTGGAGCAAGGCAAAGATTTTTCTAATGTGGGTGTTTCGAGTTAGTGACTAAGCTCCACATTTAGATACAAAATAAGTGGCCTCATTTCTAAAGAGGTGGAGGCTTCCTGGGCATGGATTCGGGTGCTCCAGCTTCAGGAGCCTGGATGGAGTCTGGCCTTACATTTTTATTGGGACGTTTTCAGCGCTTCTGGACGCTTGGCACTAACGTAGGTGGAGCTGTGCGCTCGCTGGATGTAGAAAGCACAACCCTTCAGCCAGATCCAAAGCCTGGTCCCAAAAAAAGCCTCTGTGCAAAATGCCTCCGTGGTGACATGCAGAGATCTGGACCAAGCTGAGACACAAAACTGAGCCGTCGTGGAGGTGGTGGCCCGGTGCTAAGGTTACGGTATAGGCTTCCTTTTTCCTTTCTGCCCTTCCTCCCCATCGCTTGGCAGCTCCTCTCTTAGCGGCTGCCTCTTGGCTGGGCGAGTGGATGTTCCTGACAAGGTCAGTGGAAGAGGGACAAGCACATGGACTTGGAAAAACCCTGCCCATCTGCCAAGACGGTGTAAATGTGACTGTCCCCGAACAAACGTTTCCCCGCCCAGTTGTTATGCAGTTCTGCAGGGCACATAAAGCAGAGTCTTGCCTGCCGATGCTGAATGGGAAAAGAAATATTCATTTGCTGAACAGATGCATTAGGTTTAGCAGCAGTGGGGGGCCCATCACCTAAATGTTTGCTCCCAAATCGGGAAAAAGTCAGGGCAAGGGGCGTGTGGTCCCATCTGTAGCATACTGACAGGCAGGATTGGCAGCCTCTCTGCTGCCAGGTCTTTATGATCAAAAAGTAATTTGCTGTGAAGAGAACTGGAAAGAAAAGTTGGGGTAGGAATAGATGGCAGTCCAGGCCCGTGGTAAGGTATAACCCTGATGTGTCCTCCTGTTCCTGGGGTCTGGGGATGTGGAAGATCAGCTCTTACAGCAGCAGAGAAGTCATGTTATAGCTGCCTTCTAAAGCAAGACCAGATGCAGGCAGCTCTCAAAAGCAGAGTCACACAAAATCAAAGGTTGTCCAGTGAGAGGGGATGGAGAGGCAGGAGGGGACATGTTTCTGTTACATTTCCGTGCGTGAGAAATTCCTGTTGAGTTTTTCCAACAGTGAAGACTTGGGTGTGTGAACTGTGGGAGCAGCAGGCAGAGGCACCGTGCCCCTGCTGGTGAGGTTCTGTGCATGTCCCTCGTGTCCTTGCAGAGGCTGGTGGTTTGCCTGGAGGAGTCAATTTACATCCATAACATTAAGGACATGAAGCTTTTGAAGACTATTCTGGATACACCTCCAAATGCAACAGGTAAGCGTGGGGGAACTGCAAAAGGGAGAGATCAGCTCTGCAAGGAGCTTTGGAGAGCCACCACGCTCGTGTTAGAATTCAAACCAGTCTGTGGCTTGTGTATCCTAATTCAGCACTGGGGAGCCAGAAATGCGTGGAGGCAGGCAGTCGGGCTTGGGAGAGCGGAAACCCTGCTCTGTCCTGAGCAAAACCCCTGCTCTGTCCTGAGCAAAAACCCCTGCTCTGTCCTGAGCAAAAACCCCTGCTCTGTCCTGAGCAAATGACTCAAAGGAGAGCAGAAATGGTCAGCGTGGCTTCACTTCACCTCCCAGGTTTGGTCCCTTCCTGCCCTTGCTGCTCACAGCTTCCCGCAGCACGCCTGTATTCCCTTTCGCACGCGGAAAGCCGTAAGGCAGGCCAGGACCGCAAGTTTCCCTCCACATACAGGACAATGTGAAACTCTCCCTCCGGGGCTCCCTGCCCTTCCTTCGCTGTGCCCTGAGTCACAGAGTCCCACGGTGTTTTCGCTCGCTGGACAAAGGAGCCCCACTTCCCCGCGCTGCCGGCGGGAGGCAGCTCTGCAGCGTCAAGCCGTGCCGCCGAGCTCGGTGCTCCCTGCAGACCTGTGGCTAGCCCAGGTTCTCTTTTGGCCCGTGGACATGCTCTAGTCTGCTAAGGTAGAAAGCTCCTGTGACTGCTCACAGCCCTGGGGTCAGCTCCTGAAGTGATTAGCGCTGTGAGGATGACCCCGGGCAGAAAACACAGCCCGGGACGGCACTAATTCCCTGCCAGCGACTTCCCAGGAGCCCGGGTTTCAACCTGATGTTATTCCACACACGCTGCAAACCGAAGGGCTGGGGCAGGTGGCTGCAGAACAGATCCTCTCTGTGCGGCGTAGGGCGAATCCGGCTTTCCTGCTCCTGAGAGAGGAGCTATTTTTAGCCGTGGAGAGGGAAGCTTGGCCGGGCGCCGGCGGCAGCGCTGCCATGCGTGGCCGCGATAGCCCGGTTGGCCGCAGGCTGCAGCATCGTTTCACGGGTGGTTGCTCGGGAAGTGGCTGATGTGCTCACGCACGGCTTCTGGGCCTTCAAAAAAAAAGGCTCCCCTGACCTACTTCAGGTCTCAACAGATGGCCTCTCCGTGTGGATTAAACATACTAAATACCGCAAATATAATTAAAGTTTAAAACCTTCCCGAGAAAGCCCAGCAGCGGCAGGAAGGGCAGGGATAGCCAGGCCTGAAGCTGTTCTGCAGTGGGGCTGAATGATCAGGTCATGGTTTAAGAGCAACAGCAATCAGTGCTCGCCGGGCCAGGACTAGGCTGCTGCGGATCACAGGGCTTCGTACGGGCTTGATTCTTTAAAACCCTTTTACTGCAGCAGCTGTCATTGAAATGAGCTGAGTGCCAAGTGCCATGCCACGCGTGTTCCCTTTGTCCCTGGACCATCTGCTTTGGTCCCAAGCCTGACCCCAAGGACGGTGTGTCCAGGAGGCCGAGGCAGTCCAGCCTCACCGCTCTCTGGACAACCCTTTTCGGAGCAGGGATCTGTGCCGGGGGGGGTGTAGGAGCACACAGCAAGCGTGCCATGCTGCCCCAAAGTGTGCGTCCCGGGCACGGTAACACCAGTGTGGTGAGGACTGGGATTTGCTGCACACCCAGCACACTCAGTCACAGTGAGATCTCTGGCCAGGACCTGGCTCCCAGTCCAGCCTCCTCCACGCAGGAGAGGAAAGCGCCCACGGTGGGTGAGCCTGGTGTTTTTCATGGGTGCTCAAGCCTGTTTTTTTCATGTGGCTCATGTCAGGGGCAGGGTTTGCACTGAGGAGGTCACAGTGCTCGTGGTGACACGCATGCCACAGGGGCGCATCTTGGGGATGACTGCAGCTTTGGAAAGCACCTTATGTGGCTCCCCCCAAGCCCCAGATGCGGCTGGACCTGCTGGCTTGGGGTCAAGGCCAGGCTTCTTGGACACGGTAGCTTTTTTCCGTAGAAGCCACCTGTGATGGGGCATTCACAGAGCTGCCATCCTGAGCAGCACCAGCCTGCCTCCTCCCTCCTGAGCCTGTCGCTGCCCCTTTTCAGGGCCTTGGGGCTGCCGGGAGCACAGGAGCATCTTCAAAGGCTGCCCATGTCCCTTGTGATCCTTGTTCTTTGAGTGTCCCTGAGGTCAGCCGAGTACACTCACAGCTGTGTTCTCCCCTGGCCTGGTTTCCCGTCCGCCTCTCCCAGCCAGGCGTGGAGCAGAGGGAGCGGGTGACTCACACCAACCTCTCTCAGAGCTTGCTTTGTTTAGCTCGAGCCTTCTCTAGATCCTCCGCTCAGAGAAAGGGCCATGCTGATCCCCCCGTGCTGATCCCCCCGTGCTGCCTGGGCCAGGGGAAGACCATCCTGAAATGATGGGGTGCTCATCACTAGCAAAGCCTCTGGGCTATCTTTGCCTTCCTCCTATCCCTCCCTCTTCGGGTGCCTGCACTTTGCTGCTGCTTCGCCTCTTCTCCCCGGTGAGCGCCGTCCCTGGCATGATGTAAATGCCTCTGATTGATAGGGAGTGGATCCCTGGGGCCCTTGGCCGATCCTGCAGCTCCTGGCTCCGCCGCGGTCTCTTTGTTTGGTTATAAACAATGACCTAAAACGAGAGCTTCGGCCGATCCTTCCCCACGGCTGGGCCCGGGCCAGGGCGGTGTCCTGACACGAGGGGTTGCACGGCATGTGTGTGCGTGTCCCTGCATGTACTGCACTCCCGGGGCATCCTGTTTGGGGAGCAGGGCAGCATCCCTGGCACCCTTTAACCCCGCAGCTTCCTCCACACGTGGGACTAGGTGGGACCCCCGGTGGGGGCCAGGAAGCCCAGGTCATGCTGAAGCCTTGAGTCGGATTTGGGAGGACTGTGAGCACGCGGACGTGGTGCAGGAAGCTAGCGAGACCCGTTTCTGTATGTGACAGGATTCACTGGGATGGGTCCTCCGCCAGCGGCAGAAATGAGAGGCAGGAAGAGATGCTCCTTTCCAAGGTCACCTGGGGGACAGGCGGATGGACGTACCCACGCACACATCCATCCATCCATCCCTGTCTCATCCTGTAACTCCGGCTTGCTTTGAAAGGGGTGCTTGGGAACCTTTATGCTCACGTTGGCATTCAAACAGATGGCCATTATGGGGAAGAATTCCCTCTGTGGTTAAAATTTAGCTAGGTTCAAGTTCCTTGTCAGCCGGAAACTCCCTGCACAACTGTGGCATTTGGTTTGTCTTTCCCTGCTTCCCTTTTCCGTGCAGAGAAAAGGGAAACGGTGCCGCCCAGCCCCACAGCCGCTGCCGTGCTGTGCCAGCCTTCACGTGCCAGCCTTCAGACCGGGGCTGTGCCCATGCTGCGCTGCTCAGCTGAGCTTCTGACCCCTGGCACCTCCACCCCACACACACCTGGAGGTGCCCAGATGTGGCTGGACATGCGTCCTGTTAACCCTGAGACCAAGATGTCCCTTGCTGCATTTCATGCACCTATTCTTGCCTTCTCGGAGGAGATGATTTAAGGGGGAGAAGCCAAGAGCGTGCCCAAAAGCAGGACCTGGGCTCCAGAAACTAGATGATCTTTAAGGTCCCTTCCAACCCAAACCATTCTATGATTCCAAGCGGGGTTTGGGGAGGACGGTGGCTGGGAGAAGGGAGCCATACTGTCCCGTACCAGCAGGTGTCCCCACGGCCGAGGCATTGCCACCTCACCGCTGGCTTGTGCCCTGTGCCGGACACTGCCCCGAAATGAGACAAGAGCCTGAACCCCCTGCGGTGTCCGTGGCCGCGTTTCTGCTTTTCGTTCCCCACCGACAAACAACCTCGGCTGCGTCCTTCTCGCCTTGCCAGGTCTGTGTGCTCTCTCCATCAACCACGCCAACTCCTACTTGGCTTATCCCGGCAGCGCGACCAGCGGAGAGATCGCGCTTTACGACGGAAATACTTTGGTAAGTGCGAAGCTCGCCCGTTTGGATACCGGCAGGGGCTGAAAACAAACAGAACCGCAGCAAAGCCAACAAGGGCCTTGGGGGAGGATGAATAAGTACGTTCCGCCGAGCGAGACGGTGAGGGAATTGCCCAGGGAGGCACATTCCCCATCCCCCTTGCCGGGACGCCACGCGAAGCAGCCAGCCTCTCTGAGATCAGGACATCCATCTCCCCGGGCGGGATATTCAGGGAAACGTGACCCATGACCCTGCAGCCCAAGGGCTGCTGCCAGGCTGACACGGGTTCCTACAGAGGGTTTCTGTAGGAGCTTCAGCAGCTTATCCCACGGGAGTGATGTGACCGGGGTGGTTCAGGGAGGGTTGGAGCTGCTCCAGGCACAGGGGGCTGGAAGAGTTGCTGGACCCAAAGTCATGGAGAGGACGAGGTGTCCAAAGTCCCCTCAGGAAATCTGTCCCTGGCTGGAAGCAGGGTCACGATTATCTGCTGTTTATGCCAGGGCTTTGGATTACATAAGGCTGTCGCTCTGTACGTGCAGCAGGAGCTGAGGATCTGCAGCAGGGGAGGAGCAGAGCGCAAGGGGAAAACCCGCTGCTGCTGCTGCGAGAGGTACTAGCGAGGGCCTGGGCTCCCTGCAGGCATCGGTGCTGTCGCCGCAGCGGGATTTGCTGTACAGCCGAGCAGATTGCAGGGGGGCTGGCTCTGTCTCGGCACGAAGGAACGCCAGGCTTCGGAGAGGGCACGGTCGTGATCCCGCAGCCTGGAGAGGTGGGGAGCCGAGGACCTCTGCCCCTGAAATGAGCTTTCTGTAATCTCAGTGACCATAGTACGTGGGGAGTGAGCTCGAGGCAGGGCAGAGATAAGAAACGTTGAGGATGTTGGAGGGATACCCTACGTGCCACACGATCCCAGGGATCCATATCAGCAGGCCTCGATAGGGTGCGAGGCGGGGAACGCCCTGCCCTTACGCAGCCCCAGGAGCAACGTGTCACCTTCTGCCCTACAGAAAACAGCCTGCACGATTCCTGCCCATGACGGGCCGCTGGCTGCTCTTGCCTTCAACTCCACCGGGTCAAAGCTGGCAAGTGCTTCTGAAAAAGTGAGTGAGCGCCGCTGCGAGCCCCCTCCCTGCTGCCCATGCTTCTGCCCGCAGCGGGGTCCCAGCCAGCTCAGGTGCATCAGCTGCCTGGAGCGTGGAGAGCAGGACCTCTGAGCTGCTCGTTCTTAAGCACAGCCAACACAGGAGGGGCACTAAAAGGACTCTGACTTGTAAGAGGCCAGTGTCTCGGGTTTGGATTGACCCCGGGTGGCAAACAGGAGGGGCCTTTGCACGTCCTGAGCTTCTTGGGTGTGTCAGAGAAAGGGCTGGCGCTCTTTGCCCTGCTCCTGCGTGATCTTTCCATTTGCATTTTTTGCAGGGCACAGTCATTCGTGTATTTTCCATTCCTGGGGGGCAAAAGCTGTATGAATTCCGGCGAGGGATGAAAAGGTCAGTTCATTCTTATGTCAGTGACAAGTACACAGAGGGCTCCCGGAGCAGAAATGTAAACAGAGGGACAGGGCAACGTCAGATCCTGGTGGCTTTGGCATCTTTTGCAAAAAGAAAACAAGGGCGAGCGTATCAGATAGAAATGTCATTGTGCCAGACAGCCACGCTGCGCCCAGCTGCCTCCGGCCAGTTTAGTGGTTCGATTCAGTGTGTCGCAGAACAGGGTGACTGCAGGGAACAGAGGTAGATTCAGTCCATTTACTCTGTCCTTTCTTGTTTCTCACTTGAAATGATGAAGTCCCCAAAGTTATCAGCCCAACTGAGGCCCAAAGGAGGTTTGAAACAACTAACCTTTGAAAGTACTGAGTCATTTGTGCAGAGCCCAAGTCTCGGTGGCGGGAAGGGGCTGTGGGTGCCCTTCTGCAGGGTCCCTCAGATCTTTTCGGTAGGGCTGTTCCTGACTTCTCCCTCTTCCCCATCCCTGACCTGCCTGTGATTTTACACCCACTTCTGCAAGTACAAAAGCTGCCATGACCGAGACACCCTGGCCCTGCCGAGCCTGCGCAGGAGGAGATGCCGTATATCCCACCATCCAGCCCTTGGGATGTCCTCCCCGGCCTTTGCAGTACCAGAAGCTTTAGCTGCTCTAGCAGGGCTGGCACAGATGTTCGCTCCACACGCAGCTCTGTGGGCAAGAACATTTCCACCTCTCTGGCTGCTTGTCACTAGCTTGAGGCTCTGCTGAGCAAAGGGATGAGGGAAATGCTAGTCGGACAGCCCACAGGCTCAGCGGCAGCCAGGCAGGGCGCTTCTCACCGTGGGTGGGTCTCCTTCCTCCCCGTCCTTGTCTCTGTGAGCAAAAAGCTCCCCTTGAACGATGTGCCACGAAGCGACCAGTCCTGTCTTTGCTTGACCCTAGGTATGTGAACATCAGCTCACTGGTGTTCAGCATGGATTCCCAGTTCCTCTGTGCTTCCAGCAACACGGAGACCGTGCACATCTTTAAACTGGAACACCTCACTGACAGGTGAGGGGGTTAACCTGGGTTAACCTGCCTGCCCCAGGAGTGTCTGTGCTCCCAAGGTCTGCCTTTACCCAGCTGGCCTCCCTTTCCTCACCACATACTCTCCGTGAGCCATACTGGCTG